GCTGTTGGACTACCGGTTGAGGTTGCTTGTCAGGCACAGCCTGTTTCACTGGCTAAAATTGACATTTAAAAATACATCATAAATAACAATTTAAACAAAGATAACATTGTTATTCAACTGAGAATTTGGAGATACAACTTGTATATTTTTATACACATACCAGTGTGACACCACAATTTTTGGTGTTAATACAAAAATTATAGACGAAAATAAGTTTATCCCAATAACATAAATATCTAAGAAGTATATTTGCAGAAAGGTTTGCTTTTGCAACGACAGGCGGCATTATGCCTGCGTACACAAAATGGCGGTCGGCGTTCTAACGGGACATGTATTGTACTCAATTCTAGCAAATTAAATATCTCAACATCATTTTGATATTCAAAGCGCCAAAGTTTATTACAACACTGCCAAAAAGGTAAAATGTATGAATAACACACTGATAATGCGTCAAATTCACTTACTTCAATATTAGGCCGTTGACCTCCTTGTCCATGATTTTGGTTTCTTTGATTTTGATTGTTGTGTTCAAATCTAGAATTACGAAAACCTCCGCGATTATTTCCTCGGCGACCCCCTTGACGCTGTGGCTGCGGTGGTCCGCCGTACCCTCTATTTCCAAATTGATTCATCCCTTGCATCTGCATAGCTAAATGCTCTGAATTATTTCAGACACAAAAAGCAAACAATACAAATGTTCAATTACAGTAAACTGCACAATATTATACTACAACGTGTTTAATAAAAAAAAACTAAGAAAACTGTTAAAGTCACACTTTACGAATACGCGACGTTGCGTATGGCCAAGTAACCAACAAAGGTCAAGATGGCGGACAAACTAGCCGAAATGAACGGAAGGAAATGGAAAACAAAGCAGTGTTGCCCATAAAAAAATTTTACCCTGCCGTGTACATTGAGTTAAAAAAAAGCCGTAGACCAAATGCTTTAGCTCTGGTGGTGCTCCCTTGGATAACACTCTTCTATTTCATTTGAGGATATCCACAGAAAGGGGTTTTAATAGGTCAAATTGCAGGTGTCTATGATAGATTTCTCCCGATACATAAAAAAGACCGTGGATCGTAGATTTAGTAATTTGTAAACTTGAAAGTCACAGAACACGGCAATTGCCGTGGCACTAGCAACACCGAGAGGAAGTCAACCGTCAATTTTCTAGTCCGTTTCTAATGGTTCCATTACACGCAATATCTGTTGCGTAATGTAAACATTAAATCAAGCTACTAAATGGCAATAGCTGTGTAAGAAAAGCTTCTAATTCTAGAAGTGAATTTTAGTTTTCATTTAAATAATTGAAAGACACCATACTAAAAGAAAGAAATATTTATATTTCCACCTTAACCAGAACTTACAAAAATAACAAAATGATTTAGGTATATGTCTTATAAACTCTACGCCGGCTTCAGAAGTCAAAATTATGATAAAATAGGGAAGTTTGTAACTGTTTTACAAACGTGATCTTCTCTTTTTAGTCATAACGTTGACTGAAGAAATAAAATAGCACAAATAGGACTTTTATCTAATTATATTTATTCCAAAACGAAATTGTTGATGTCATTGCTGATAGATTGTCAATATCGAATTAAGAGGTTAAATTATTTTTAAAGGGCATTATTTTATTGTTAATATTGAATATTACATAAAAACTCCATTTGTTTATTTAGTATAGAAAAAGAAGTAGGCAAGGCCAGGTTTTAAAACATGAGGCTGATGTAATAAATTGAGCCCTGGAGTAAACATGAATAAGGGGTTATGGGTAGAAAGAAATACTAGATAACAATTAAAATTAAGATCAGTAAAATATTAAAAATAAAAACGTTGCGGATTTAAGAAGAAATCAGTCTCTAAAAGTAATAGTAAATATGGACACTCACAATGATGAAGATCAAGCTTTAGATATTAACATTGAAACTAAATATCCGTTGCTGCCTTTTGAGAAACAAATTTTCATTGACATTCAAGAAAAGGATGCTCTACTAATAATGGCAAAGTAATTTTAATATAGTATGCACAGCTTCATCATTGGCCTATTCATTTATACTAAATAATGGATTTTTTCAGAGGAATAAACTATGACAAAGTTTTAGCCAACATTATCTGGGTTTACAATGATCCTGGTAACTTAGTTTTGGTTCTAAATAGTAGTGATGATGAAGAGAAATTATTCACAACACAATTCAATCTACCTTCACTCCCAAATGTTGGTACTGAAAGGTAAAACATAATAATATTGAATCCTTAACTATTGCTGCCAATAGACCTGATATAGTAATAATAGATCGGTCTGAGAGTTGTGTAATGTTAGTCAATGTCACTATTCCACATGACAAGAATCTCGTGAAAGCCGAAAATGAAAAACTATTAAAATATTTGGATTTGGCTTACAAGATTACTGCCATGTGGCGTATGAAATCGACTATCATTATTCCGATAGTCGTTTTGGCACACGGGCTGATAGCGAAGAGCTACGACCAACACCTCAAGAAGCTCTCGCTAGATTGTTGGGTTAAGGGCCTGATTCAAAAGGCGGTTATTTTAGAAACCGCACGAATAGTGAGGAGGTTCCTGCCTCTGCAACCCTGACCACTGGTTGCTTGAGTCATCGGATTGCGCAGCCTGTGGACTTCTATTTTTTTATAAAATATGTTTTATTTTTTTTTAATAAAAATTAATGTGAAATATGTTATATATAAAAATAAGAAAAAAAAGATAAGAGATTTTTTGAATACTTATATTCAATTAGTGTAGTTAGTGTTATATCTGTTTTGTTTTTTTTTTTAGAGAAAAGACATATTTAGAAGGAGGTGTGTTTTTTGTTTCCACTCGAATATTGGTTGTTGATTTATTAAAGAATAGAGTACCTGTTAACCACATCACAGGTATTATTGTGTTAAGAGCACATACAGTTTTAGAATCATGTCAGGAGGCATTTGTGCTTAGATTGTATAGACAAAAAAATAAAGTGAGTATTTAAATGTTATTTACAATGTTCTAACTAACTTAACATACTTATTTATATATTGATTTTGTGTAAAAACAAATAACATATAAAATATATTTAATATGTTCATACCCAATATGAGTACCATTTATTTTTTTTAATTACAGACAGGATTTATTAAAGCATTTTCTAACTCGCCAATATCATTTACATTTGGATATAGTCAAGTTGAAAAAGTTATGCGAGCACTGTTTGTAACAGAACTATTCCTGTGGCCAAGGTAATAATTTTATGTTCTATACTAGCTTTTGCCTGCGACTTGTACGCATGGAATAAAATAAAACGAAAGTGAGTAGCCTGTGTTCTTCCAGACTATCCCCTACATAAATGCCAAATTTCATTAATATCCATTCAGCAGTTAAGGCTACAAACTGTAACAAACATTCATCCATCCATCTAAACTTTCACATTTATAATATTAATATGATATATTTCTCTTATATACAACCATATCTGTTAGTTTAAAAATATAATATAATTGTTACTTTGTCAATAAGCATATGAATGTCCATAAATATCATATTAAGAAATATTAGTTAAACTACTTATTTGACTTTCTTTAAGAAATGTCTCATGTTCAGTCATAAAAACATTGTATGTATGTTTGCTGCATATCTTTGTCTTAAAAAAAAGGTAAAACAAATTCTCTTTAATATCCACCTTGTTTAAAACATTTATGTTTAACTATTTTTTTAATTATCAGATTTCATGGTGTAATAATAAAAAGTCTTAAAAGCAGACAGGCTGAGGTTGAGGAGATACAAATACCTCTCTCTGCGAAAGCAGCACAAATTCAAGTGTGCCTCTTGGATATAATGAATAACACTGTTAAACAATTGAAAAGTATTAACAGGACACTTGATATGCAGGTAAATATCTAAATCAAGTTTTTTCTAGCTTATATAAATAATGCTAACATAAAAGAGTATATAAGTCAATAACACTGATTAAATAAGTAAATTTTTGACAACTTCATAAAGTAATGAAATTCGTTAATTGAATAATTTATATATCTTTTACACCACATATTATTTACTATCTGTTGCCTACGACTTTGTCTGCGTGAAATTAAAAAATCTATCCTATCTTACTCGCTGATAACATATATTTTTAATGGTGAAAGAATTTTTAAAATCACCCTAGAAGTTTCTGAGTTACTTCAGTACATATAAAAAATAAAATTTTTTAACTTAATATGCTTCATTTTAAGGAAATAACAATGGAAAATTGTATAACAAAGAAGTTTCACAAAATACTACAATCACAACTTGATTGTATTTGGCATCAGCTCAGCACCAGAACAAAGGAGTATATTCAAGATTTAAAAGTATTAAGAAGTATGATTATGTGGGTAAATAAATTCTATAGCTTTTTAGTTTTTAGTCAAACTATTGAATTACTAAAAATACATTGTAATAATAATTGTATTGTAACTATAGATTTCCAATCTAAAATTATTACGACAAAAACATTGTCATCTCAGTTCTATTTTTGCAAGACAAGACAATAGAAAGAGAGGAGAATATTGCTATTATTTAGCCGATTAACTTAAGATGATTATTACAGTAAAGCAAGTATTAGAAATCCTGCCTTAAAAGTGCTTTACATTGCTTTTTTTCACCCCTTTCTAAACTTACTAATATTATAAATATGTAAGTTTAGATGAATAAACGTTAGTTACAAGATATCCCTGGATTTTGATGTACAGAGATCGGAAAGCACAGATGTAGTACATATTTTGGAAAATTGCATAGACTGGTTGTTTTTGTTTTCTTCTAATGCCGCTCAAATGTGGTTGCATATAAAAGCTAGCATGTGTATAAAATTAGTACAACATTATTTAGCGATATGGCGAGGGATTTAATATTCCTGTTCAGGTTATTTTTCGTTGTTTTTTAGAAATTTGATTCATGATGATCCAGTGTCGTTCTATGCTTTAGTAAGTAAATATAGAACACCAGAGTATGCTAAGGTGAACTCTGGCTGGATATTGCTGGATTCCGCAGACCAATTGTTTGGAGCTGCAAGAGGAAGAGTCTACAATACACGAAATGGTAAATTCATCCTGTTTTATTAAAATACCTAATAACTGTAGTCCAAATGTTAGTGTCTAATGATTATTTCTTAATTTATAAACTTAATTTTTCTTGTTCGATGACATTTAGTTGCACATTTTTTTTTCAAAGTTAAGAACTATCCAGTATGTTTTGAGTTTTTTTTTCTAATATTACTTAATACAATCTTTTCCATTTATTATAGAATTTGATCCAGAACACTGTCCGAAATGGAAATGTCTCAGTGATCTACTAACCCAAGAAATACCTAGAGAAGTAAAGAAAAAAGGCAAAGGGAAATTAAATAGTACTAAAGTGTTAATCCTTTGCCAAGATAATAAGACATGCTGTCAATTAAATAATTACCTATTAATGGGCCCCAATAAATATTTATTATACACAGCATTCAGAAGGGATTTAACTATAAATACAATTTGTTCGAAATATAATAGTGCAAAGAAGTCTTTACCAGTGAAAACGGAGATTAAATCAAATAGTAGCACAGCGGATGGTGATGGAAATGATGGTGATGAAGAATGTAATAGTGATGAGATGATTAAATCAAGTTATGTGTTAACTTTGAGTCAGTTACCTGTTAAAATGGATACATCAGCCGATGAAAGTATTTTTGAACCATTATCACAGGTAAGTTATTAGACAGGTACTTTTTTTCAAATAAAGTAGAACCTTGATAAGTTAAAGTCCAAGGGAAACACAAAATATTTTAAGTTATTGAGGTTTTAATTTATCAAGGGTCTATGTTGTAGAGGTTTTGGGCTCTGATAGGAAGGGAACATATTATTTTTTGAAGTTATTAAGTTACCGAGGTTTGAGTTATCGAGGTCCTACTGTATTTAAATTAAAAACTTGTTTATTCACTAACAGTAATAACCACCAATAACATCATTCTTACAAATGGACCGGCTCACACTGTGCAATACCACTACACAAAAGATAGACATGAAATATATGGGCTGGTAATTTCGCTATTTTGGCGAATTAAGGCCACTTCGCTCTTTGCCATCTTTTAATAAAAATGTTAAAAACCCATACTTTGTATAAGAAATATAACTTGCATAAAAAAAAAACAATAGAAAACAATGCACACCTTTATTTCTCATTATTTAATCATTTATTATTATGTTTTTACAAACATTTTACAAAACCACACCATGCAGATACATAGAAGTTCTCGTGTTTATGTTTTTTTAATTAATTTTACTACTTAAATCTTTATCTCATTTACAGTTAGATGATTTGAACCTAACAGAAATAGAGACCGAAAAGCCTTTGATTTGTATTCAAACGTTTAAACAAAATGGCAACGTGTTTTCTCTGGGAATGACGTTGGAAACATTACGGCCTGAATATGTTATTTTGTACCACAGCGATATGTCCGCTGTACGGCAAATTGAATTATTTGAATGTAGGAAGAAACCTGAAGAACCAAAGACGAAAGTTTATTTTATTATTCATGATAAAACTGTCGAAGAGCAAGCATATTTAACTTCATTGAAACGGGAAAAACAGGCATTCGAATTATTAATTGAAACTAAAGGTGTAAGTAAATTGCTATCTCTCCTCACAAATAATTTACCTCCCTCTCTCTCTCCAATGGTGAAAAAATTTTGAAATCGGGCCAATAGTTTTTACGTGAATCTAATACATACAAAAATCCAAAAACACAATTTTATGCTAAAGTTTGGATGGACGGAAAACCGCTCAAAAAAATACGTAAGATACGAAGTATTTTTTTTAAATTTGCAATAACGTTTTCGCGGGACAAAAGCTAGTATGTTTAATAATTTCTGTAATTTTTTGTTCAGGTGATGGTGATACCTTCATATCAAGATGGAAAAACTGATGAATATTTCAACCTTAATGTTGAACCAGAAGAAAATGTTTTAGACACACGAAAAGCAGGTAAATTTCATGAAGGATAATTTTTAGTATAGTTCTAATTAACGAGTAAATGTCGAATAACCGGTACTACGTCACTCATAGTCTTTTAGTGGATAATTATACAATCCCTTAGTAATCATTTTACATTTCTGACCGCTAGTTAAGATACTACAGATATGCCATAATGTTAAATATATAAACAATTTTTTGCTATATTTCTGAACACGTATCTTTAATTTGAAGGTGGACAGAGTCTGAACAAAGAGAAACCGTTGGTGATAGTGGATATGAGAGAGTTTCGCTCCGATCTTCCCTCATTGTTACATAAGAAAGGAATTAACATAGAACCTGTCACGATTACTGTAAGTTCTCTGTAATCTTAGCTGTTTGATTTCTATTGGTTCAAATACAGCTTTGAAATGTGCTAGATTTTAATGAGTAAGTCCTAAAGGGAGGGTCGCATTAAGATGATCAAAGTCTTAGTAGGATTTTATATTTATATTTACATGTGCTTTACGTTGTATGAAAGCGACTGTGGATGCTAGTGACTTGACTATATTCCAAATTGGGATTATTATTTTTACTATACTTAACCCCTTATTATTTTTTTAATTATCGCTTATAATCTTTTTAAAAAACCAAAGGCATTGGGTAAAAATAACCTAAAGTATTCTTCGTTTAAAATGTGTATTATTAATAAAACGTTACATTTGTGATATAATGTTAATAGATAGGTGATTACATCCTGACTCCTGATATCTGCGTGGAAAGAAAATCGATATCGGACCTGATCGGGTCATTGAACTCTGGTCGGCTGTACGCGCAGTGCACGCACATGTGCCGCAACTACACACGCCCCATACTGCTCATTGAGTTCGATCACAAGAAACCTTTCCATTTACAAGTAAGTTAATTTCATATTACTGATCATGCAAAGTGTAACTCCGGTTAAAATAACTCTCTATAACTAACTCTGTATATAAAATGTTTCGTAAATCTTAACTTCGTCTGATATTACGTAGCAATATCGAAGATCAAACATGTTTTATCAAGCTATTTTTCAAATATGGATAAAAGCGTAAATTCGTGGACCTTAAATTTGTGCAAATCAAGTTAACGACCATTATGGTAATCCGGCTCGAAGGACCAATTGTTTGGTTTAAATGATATATTTGACGTGTGCGAGTATAGCCAGCATTTCCCGCGGGAACAGCACTGTTAATAAGTATTCTCAGGTGCTAACTTTCTATATCAATACAGTACAGTATGGACTGACTACATATTAACTCTGCATACCGGAATTTTTCTGGTTATTGAACAATAACATGTACAAGATAATTAACGTGAGTACGTTCAGGGTAGTTTCGTGGTGTCAACGGACCTGTCCGGGGCGGAGATCCAGCAGAAGTTGCAGCTGCTCACCATACACTTCCCGCGGCTCAAGCTGGTCTGGTCGCCCAGCCCGTACGCAACCGCCGAATTGTTCTATGAACTCAAGGTTACCTTGTATACATAATTATTCGAAACAAATACATATTCCGATCGACATTATGATTTATTTAATTAAATATTAAAGTCGGTTCCCACTGCTCAATTTTACAATATTTTGTATTTGTTTTTTCTCAAATCATAATACGAAAGTTTATTTTTGTAACAATGTTTAAGCTTTAAAAACGCTATTTAAACTTGCTTAAATTCCATATATGAATAGTCAATTTAAAGATCATCATTAATTTTTTTCGTATTTTTTTATTTAATAATAGCAAGGCAGAAAAAATCCCAACGTGGAGGAGGCGATGGCTCTGAGCAATGAGAACACAGCCGACGACATGTGGTACGAACGATACAACATACTGGTACACGACTTTGTGCAGAAACTGCCCGGAGTCACTTCTAAGAATATTACCAGAATCATGAACAGAGGCCAATCTTTGGACCATCTAATTACACTTACAAAGGTGAGATTTTTTCATTTTACAATTTAATCATCATTAGCTTATTGATTACGGGTACGAATTTCCGATCATTTGGTTGAGTTCGAATGAACCATTGTCGTATTTTAATTGTCAATTTCATAAAAAAAAATCATATAAAACAAACACGATAAATGAAAAAAGGAAGCGTGGATTTCAATCAGAAATAGTACTAGATTTTTTTTTATTTTACTTCCAGGAGCAAATAACAGAAATTGTTGAAAATAAAACAGAAGCAGAATTATTGTATTCAATATTGCATGTGAAACCAAAGTCCGATAAAAGTAAGGAAGAGAAACCATACGGCAAGAAAAAGTTTGCAGGAAAATTATTCAAGAGTAAAAAATTAGAAGCGAAATAAAACACATTTGCATTGTTGTAGTTCTTTTTTTATTTCATAAATTACAAGGCGAATATTTCTCAGTTATTTCAAATAATTAAGGTTAAAGAAAAATTACCGCCAAGGACCTAAAACAATGAATTGACTGTGAATTTTAAAAAAATAACAAACCAAAAATCAAACAACGGAATATACTAAAAGTCATTACACATTTCCTCATTGATTTTGTCGATTTTAAACATTAACTTACCATTTTTAGAGGCTGCCAGTGTAATAGTGGAAAAAATTTACAATGAATCAGTCTGAGCCAATTTAAATATTTGGGAATTAAAAGATTGTAAAATAAACAATTTAGCGCCAAGAACCTAAAACAATGGATTGCTATAAAAACAATAAATAAATCTACAAACTGCTACTAACATTTTACCTTACCAGATTTTTAACAAAAGGGTTGTTTTTAACAAATGTAAAGAACTAATTTTGCAATTTTGCAAGACTTTCATGAAATGTATGCAAAAGAGACAATAAATGTATTATTATTATTAATTTTAAAATTACATACACTAAAAAAATGAATTTACACCCATTAGAAATGAAAACATTCCAATAATTAGTATGTGAGATCAAACAGACTAAAAATATAAGGGAAAATAATATCCATAACAATACAATACATATATTTATTTTATTCTAACTAATTACAAAAGGACTTTTCCAAAGCACAAGTTTTGTATAACAATTTACAAATCTGTAATTAAAACTTCAAAAGTTTACAATAAAAGTGTGTGCTTATAAAATTTATATTAGTAATAAATAATACAATATATAGCAGTGGCCAGCAAATTATTTACAATTGTTTGATTATTTGCAATGAATTTAAAAAAACTTTTTATACTAGCACAGATAATATAATACTACACTATTAAGAAAATATAGATGATATTTTAATTGTACTCGAAACCTACAAATAGAATTAATATTATATTAATATTGTGCCACAATGATTGCGAGCTATTTTGAGTAACCTAACATCTAATAGGAGCATTTAATTAATAGTACATATAAAGGCATTTATAAAATTTTCGTGTTACTTTCTTTTCCTTACAGAATACACTCTTCATAAACTTGCATCATATTTATTTTGACTTTATTCATTTATACACAAGCCATGATTTGCCCACCACTGTTTGCATACTTTATATATTGAAATTGAATGAACGTCGTAAGCGTTTGTAGAGACAGTAAATGAGGACTGTAGCTAGGATAATAATGAGCAGTACATAAAATACTGTGTACAGTGATAGTCACTCACGGTATTGATGGTTTTTGTCTGTCAGCGGGACATAGATCACACTCATTAGTTTCTTTACCGTTGTTGTACCATCTGCTGCTTTATCCACCTGTAAATTCACATAATACACTATCCAACAACAGGCTCTGGAGTTCTCTTTGTCGCAATTCTCTATGTCATCTAACACAGACACATAGCCCTTGTTTCATGTTTTTTTAATTTACTTGAGTGATTCATTTACTCATTATTTACTAATCTGTGTGGATTTTAAAATAATAGTAGAAAGATATATAGATTTTAGATTTTATGTGACAACACAAGTTGAATATCTCACTCGAATTTGTTCCATACCTGTGTAAGATGTTGTTCCCCTCCTTCAGGACCAACTGGCACAATGAGACGTCCTCCGGGTTTCAGCTGATCTATTAACTAGAATAAATAAAAATAATGAAATTATTATTTACACACATCTTCTTCTCTAAATGATACAATCTTACTTAATACTATAAATGTGCAAGTTTAGATAGATGGATGGATGTTTGTTAGAAGGTATCTCCTGACAGCACAATAGATCTTGAGGAAATTTGGCAGAGATGTAGAACAAAGTCTGGAAGAACACATAGGCAAATAAGTTTTTATTAAATATTATATACTTACAGCTTGTGGCACACTCGGTGCAGCTGCCCCAACATGAATAGCATTATATGGTGCCTCGTCTGGATATCCTTTTCGCCCATCACCCGCTGTAAGATTTTTTTAAGAAAACTTTGGTACTGAATGTGATAATAAAATTGAATAACATACTAATAGATACAATGCAGAAATTGCAAAAATTGACACTTACCAATAAGTTTAATTCTTCCAGATGTTAGTAAATCAGGGTTGCCATTTTGTATGTTTTTGGTAGCAAGAGATACAAGTTCTGGGATATGCTCAATTCCTACGACGCTTCCAGTATCTCCGAGCATGATTGCCATGCATGCTGTTAGATAACCAGAACCAGATCCCACATCCAGGGCTTTCTCACCAGGAACCAACTGGTTATGTAGTCTTTCCAAGGCATGAGCATGCTACATTTAACATAAGAATATAATAATAAACAGAAACATATAACATTATTTGAGGCTTAAAAATATTCTATTAAATACATAGCTTGTAGAAAGTGCGAGAATTTTATCTTTTTCTTGTAATTGTTAGCAAGAGTTGTTTAAACATTTCAATCTTATAACAACAAAACAAAACAAACAAAAATATAAACAGTATAACAATATAAACAGTGTTTACCATATGTGGAGCACTAATAGTTGCAGCATATCCTATTGATTGTGGAGAGTCTTGATAAGGGGCATATGGGCAATAAAATTTACGATCAACCGCGTTCATTGCATTCGCTACAGTGATGGTTTTTATAATACCGTTAGCTGAAAAAAAATATTTTGAATTAACAATTTACCAGGCATAGTAATTTATATAATTTTAAACGTTTTAAAGTAAATAAAATATATAAAGTTTATTGATTTACAGAACTCTTAGCAATAAAAATAGTAATTATACGACCTAAGCAGGTGCATGCGCAATAACATAATACGATTTTATAAAATTAAAAATACCTCGAAGATTCCTTATCATATCTGCATTATTTACACCATGACTACGCCACGCCATTACTACAATTATAGTTGCGACTAAAAGTAAAGTAGATTTATTCCATAGGGGCTCAATTTTTGCGATTTTTATTTACTTTTTCAGGAATAAAAATTTGACAGCGAAATTGTTGATTTCTGTCAAACAGACGCAGATTATCGCTATAAATGTCAAACGTCAAGTTTAAGTTACCCTTTCTTAATCTTTGGTGGAACTAGAAATCGCTAGGCTTGGCAGATGCAGATACGAGAACCCAAAAGTAGGCAGACAGGAGAAATAAAAAACGTATAAAACGTTTTCTTTTCAGAACGTGGAAATTTATCTATGACCTATCCATTTATTTTCATACAGATTAGTTTTTTTTGCCTTAGATACTCTTTGATTAACTTATTATTTGACGTATGTGACTTTGACTTTTAAGTTTAAGTTATACAAATGCAATATTTTATGTAAAAACATTATTATAATTCACTTTAAAACACTTTGTTAATAATTTATTTTGAGTAACAACTTTAGCAAACTTTAAAGTAGTACCTTTAGGAGTTAGATAGAAAGTAAATTTATAACACAAAGTGTTATTTTCTTTGTGCTTTCTACCACATAAAGTGATATTTCCTGCGTAAACCATTTGGTTTTATAGGAGAAACTTTGTTAATTTAATCGGTTATTAAAAACATGGTGTGCGACGGACCTGATCCACCCGAAAACTCTCAAAACAATTTGACCCCACCTCCTAGACATGAGTTTATAAATGGTAACAATGAAGAGAGTGATGACGAACAGTCTGAATACTTCGGTTACGAGCCACTTCCACAAGGTCCCGATGGTACATTCATGGATTTCCGAGACAGAGATGATGATACAGTGGGAATGGTTAGTTTATCATTTGTACTCTGAACTCTGTACTGAAAATTAACTTTAAAGAATATGAATGAAAAACAATGCAATAAGAATAAATGCATCAGACATGTGTAAACTTTTTCTGTCACTCTTAACTGACGAGACTTTAATAATTTCTTTGCTATTAAAATGTATCAAGAAATCTGATTATTGTACTACATAAGAATGTGTTTCTTTATTTCAGTATGCCGAAGATCAGGAAGTACCGTCACAAGATGTGCCTGCCATAGAGCCCATAGAGAATGCACTAGTTAGAGAAGTTTGGAGTACTCCTAGACCAACAGATTCCATACAAATGGATAATGAAAGAGCACAAGAGGTTGATATTTTTGTATTTGTAACATCATTTGTATTCTAGGTGTACTTTATACACCATAGGAGTGCAAATGTGCAAGTTTTATTGATTTTGTCACAAATACTTTGCAAAAAATTCCTTGCTAAACCCTAAATCATATATCCATTTATTTTTACAAGGAATATTACTATTTAGCCATTTGTATTAGTTTAGTTCACACAAAACTTTAATTTATAGTTTTTATAATTTTACAGGTAATGTCAGCGATGGCTAACTTTGCATTACCGGAAGCATCAATACCTGAGTGGGCACAGAGTATATCAGAAGAGCAATGGAAACAAACTCTTAATGACAGATTAGAGAGATTAAGGAATAATAGCTAAATAGAAATTTTTATTTTTATCCTGTGGATTTTTGCTGTTATAATGTTTGTATAGCCAAATTCAAAAAGATTTTTTTTTTCAAACCTAACTAAAAAAACTTTTTCCCTTATAATGGTTTAATCACAACTTGTCAATAATATTTATTTACCTTTTAATTACCAATATAAACACAGACATTCCAAAATAAATCCATAGACTTTAAATGACATTGTCAGCCAATGGAAAGTGTAAGTATAATTTCTGATTCCAATTGAATTTCACTATATAATAATGTAAAAGCCAGCCCTTTCATTCTCCCTTCCCCAAAGTTTAAAAAGTTTTGTATAAAAGTGTTAATTAAAAGTCCCCTGTTACTGACACTTTTTATTGGCTGAGTTCTTAATGGCATTTAAAAAATAAGCTCTGAATAACAATTTTTCAAACTTACCAATGGTTATTTTATATTAGTGCTTAAAGTGTTAACAATACCTACCTTAGTAAAAGCAAAAACCTCATGATCTTGTTGAAATATGTAAAATTATATTATAACAATCCTCTTCTAAGTTTAACATAAGTTTTAAATAAGAATGTTGAAAAGTAAATAAATTTAAGATATTATTGAAGTTTATTTTTAACCACAATATACTTATTCAAATGCATTCTGATTTATTTTTCAAAGATAATTTGAGTAATGAAGAAGCTTGTTTTAGTGCATTGAATACAATTAGCTATATAAGTAACTCGCTTTTGCCTGTGACTTCGTCTGCACAGAATTTAAAAACAGTAGCCTGTGAGTTCTTCAGAGATTGTTTTCAGTTTTTGTTAAGCCGCTTCGGAGATACGTAATGACTAACGTCCATCTATACTTTCCTTGTTATAATATTAGTAAAATTTTTTATAAGCGACGTTATATTGTATCCTAGATCATTACCTAACTACGCGTAAATTTCATGTGTATCAGTATGTTTGCATGTTTCAATTATGTTTGTTGAATTATCCTATTAACGTATATATTTGAATTTTTAATATGAAAATATCCTGTTCAATGACCTTTACATAACCATAATTCATCGATTCGCTTGTGTAGAAACGGAACTACCGTATTTGTTTGGTCATAAACGCGAGATTTCACTAACTAAATATTTATAAAAAGAAACGTATTGTCTCTGTTTCTTTTTGAAAGAATGAGAGAGAGGTAACATAGATGATAAGGGTTGCAATAAGCTATTGATATTTTATTAAACTAAATAACATGAAAAACAATTTTATTAATATTTAACAAAATAAATTAGACGGTGGGATCGAATACAAGTGCACTGAAGGTGATTAGTTTTGTCTTTTCGTTTCTAATGAACATAAAGAATGGTGAATCCGCGTAGAACTGTTCCGCCGTCCGCGCCAGAATACTGCTTGTTGCTGCAACCGCCTCCGTGCCGTATTCTGCAATTATGCAACAAAATGTAAATGTACAGTATTTTTGAAACTGTAAGGCGTGGATAGATCAACGCATGTCTTTGATTCAGCTTTCAAATGATACCTTAATTGTGTTTTGCGAAGCGTCTCTTTCGAAATTTCGGGTTTATCTTTACAAAATGCTATGGGGGTTTTAAAACCTTGATGTTGTTACTCATCGCATAAATTAGATAATTTTGGTTACATTAAAACCATAGTAAAAAGGAATTATGCGGGTAACAAATTTTTCAATTAATTCAAAAACTACTGGGCCGATTTTAAAAATTCTATCACCGTTAGAAAGGTAATTTATCTGTGAGTAACATAGGCTATAACTTCACGCGGGCGAAGTCGCGAGCAACAGCTAGTTTATTTATTATTGAGCTTCTGGTCACCGTTAAATATATTCTTTTGTGTAAATTAAAGGTTTGAAACTGCTCAGATATAAGGATAGTAAGACTCGCAATGTGCCATTGTGAACTACCGTAACGCATACAAATGTCTAATTCGCAGTGCGCGTTATATAAAGCGATCTATTAAGTATGTAATGTACATTAGTACTTGAAATGTATATGTTAATGTCCAGTAATGAATTTATTACTATTGTTATTTGTGTGGTTTACTAAATCTAACTTATTTTAGGTTTTTGCTATTAGTTACTATTGTTACTAAATATTCAAAACCGATACATTTTCAATGTGTAAAATATTGAATTTAAACTGAGCATTTCTGTAAGTGCTCAGTCCGTACTTACAAATAAACGCGGTATAAAGTTAAACTTAGGAATAAACTGAGTATAAGCAAATATAGAATAGTTTTGTGGGCAGTATTTTCTATTCAAGACTGCGGGAGTTTTTATGATTTTTTTTGTAAGAGAAAGACAGAGGTGATCAATGACGCCCATGGACATCCTATTAATTTTAGACATTTCAGGTATATTGACCATTAATAAAACTATTGGGGAATGTAAGAAAAGTCGTTTACATTGTGTAAATAGCCGTTGGCAACAGAAAATTCATATGACAATTATAATAAAAGATTTGCTCTCTAGTCTTTTTATAGACACTGACGTAATGTTGCAATTATTGTATTAATTAACCGCTCTATTAACATTGTTATTACGTTTAATGATTTAATATTAACACATTCTTGATAAGTAAAAGGATATCGTTATACCACAGGGTATTAGATTAGAAAGAGATGGATGGATCGCGTGAAAGATGACATGATGAAAAAGGGAGTGATGACTGAGATGTCGTATGATAGTTATGTGGAGGACAAAAACCTGTTGCGACGACCCTACGGATGTAGGATAAGGAGCAAGATGATCTCTTTGGTGTTTTATACGTGACTTTAGCGAAGCTTATCGTCACTTTTGGACTACCCATGGGCATCGCCATCATGGCAGTAATCGAAAAAAAACTTTGACTATTCTATCGCACAGCTGTTGTGCGATTGTCGTTTGTTTAGTTGCACAACTAAAAATCGACTAAATAGTTGTGCGGAAGTTTAGTTAAAGATGTGCGCGGTCAACGCAAATAATTTTATTTATACATACCGTCGATTTTAATTTTCACTTCGTGCATGACTGAATCAACATAAACTCCAGGATTCATAAGATTATTGACTATATTCTTGACTCTTCGTTCTTTCACATTGCCTTCGTTGATCCTTGTTAAAATTTCATCAACAGTTCTGTTTGCTACCGTATTTGTGTCTATCATCAACGCAAAATTAGCTTCGCGTGGATCAAACATGGATCTAATTCCTAGTTCTTTTAAGTTTGATTCTAAATTAACATCGCTTTTGATTTCCATTTTAGGGAATCGTACAACTGTGTCTAACTCTGTCATCTGGTTTATTAAGCTATCGATCTTGGAATAATCCAAACGCTCCATTAACTCTGTCAGTGACAATTCGTTAGGCATACGAGGTTTTAACGCGTACATTGTGGTGCTACTATCGTTGTATTGAAACGCGATCATATGGAGACCTGAACAAAAATCAACACTTCAACCATAATTACGTATTATTATTTTTTTTGTTTTTAGTACCAATACCTCATATTATAATCCTTTTGTTAGAATGAGACGTCTTTATAACAGTGTTTCAAATGATCTAGACATCTTCAATCCTAAATACGTAGTCTTCAAAAATAGTATCACAAAAATACTGCAATAACTATGTTTGTCCTTACCCCTCCCTACATTTTTCCTCTACTTTTCTATTGTTTGATAAAACCTCATAAATTTAAGTTTTAAAACAAGAATTAAATATTAAGTACATTATACTTGCACTTTGTTGGTTTTTTCATAGTTGTTTTGTATAGTCATGTTGTGTACACCTACTTCGGTTTAAAACTTAGTTTCTCTAGTTCATTATTGTCATTTGTAATAATGTATTTAGTTTTAAGCTGTTTGGTGAACCTAATAAAATAAATAAATTACCAACCATCTTTTACAGAATGAATATAATTGAATTGACCCAAATTTAACATGAGATCCTCATTGATTTTGTCCTTTCCTCGCGTAAATGTCATTCTGCAACATAAAGAAAGGTTAAGTTAGAGGCGACGAAGGGAAACACACATGGACACCCAATAGTTTATATGGTAAACAGACGATACAATGTCAGAATAAATGTAGTTTATAGGTTTACAGATCTAATTTACGATGCGGGTAAACTGGTCGTAATAAAAATACGTACTTCCGTGTGTGTTCAGGTAAGAAAGGTCTCGCCCACTGCCCGCTGAAGTAAAGAGCACTTAACAGCACCACTTTAGTACTGACAGGCAAAGATTCCTTCAAGAAATTATCAATTTGGCCCTTAGTTTGCGTGCTCACCCAACTAAAAAGTAACATAACACATTTATTTCTTAACAACCTTAAAGGTGGATAATTAATATTTGCGGTTACGGTTAACCGAGAATACACGATTTATTCATACATAAATAATTGAAAAAAGTACTTGTTACTAATTTTTTTCTTCTTTTTACATTTACGATGTTTTTTAATTAGAGAGAGGTACTCGTTGATATTTAATTATATTATAAAGTATGTATGCATGACAAAATAACTAGGGCAAGGGTGATCTAAATCTGCATCAAATCAAAACTAGGTCTATACACGTTTTTATTCGCGTACAATATAATAATTGTACAAAACAAAAACCACTTGCAAAATTGAGTATTTTTAAAATTAAATTTTATATCGTTAGCCGTTTCTTATTCTTTTATCAAATTGTTTTTTTTTATTTGATCTGTAATTGCATAGCGAATTTCAAATCAAGTGCTTATTATATTTCTACAACTTTTTAATATATTCTGTAGCATTAAAAGTAATAAAAGTGTCATATTTAGAGCGGGTGCAAACATTTGACTGAACTATCGCACACTGTTGTGCGATTGTCGATTGTTTCGCAGCTAATTCAACTGTTTAGTTGCACAACTAAAAGTAGTGTGCACACCTCCATGTAAGCTTATAGGAATCAAAACGAGACTAAACAATTCTGTGATGGTTTAGTCAAAAATGTACGCGATCTTGAATGACACTACATTAATAAAAACACAGTTATTAAACATAAACAATAAATGTTGTACAACTAACTCATTAATAATTTCCTTGACGTTCATGGTGTCAGTGAAATTGACAGTTAGGACTTCGCCCCCGTATACCCTGGCAAGGTACGCCCGGTAGGCGTCACGTAGCTGTGACCGGCTGTCCACAAACACTGCGTCAGCGAATATGGTCTTACTCCACGTACCATCCGAGTTCACATGTCGCAAAAATTCACCGAACAATTCGTGGTTTTGTCGATTCAATAAGATATCTACAAAAAATATTTAAAAAAAAATTATATTGTCAAAAAATCTGTATAAAAGGCAGTCGATTTCTAAAATTATAACTTGAATTACTTCATTTTAGGGCGCAAATAAAGTTAGTACTTAGTGACTGTTTATATGCTCGCCGCGGCGGGATTTTCGTATGCAATAATTCTTGTAATAACAAAAAATGGGATAAAAAAATCGATCAAAGAAAGTCATTTAAACATCACTATTCAATTGTCTTTACAATTAAGATTTATTATAGGAAAATGGCACGGAAGTGTTGTAGGTGCATCCTTTGTTGTCTTACCTTCGGAAAATCCAAGTGCCCCGGCAAGTTCGTCATACGACCTCCCCACGCTGCCCAGCAGAGTCATTGCCAGCAGACCTGTTCCACATTAAAAATTTATAGGAAAAAACAACTCCATAGGCAGTGCAATTAAATTAAATGGAACATTAAGCCCTTTACGACACATAAAAGTCACAAGAAAATACATCTTTCGGTTTATGTTTTTATAGGATAAAGTGTCGTGAGAAACAAGCTGGCTTTTTCTTTTATTAAGTACAACAAAGTTAATCACATAAGTTCCCATATTTCACCGTTAATACAACGGTGTCAACTCATGGTCGACCAAATTAATTGATAGTCACTGAGTCGTATGTCCATAAAACTAAACTTACAAGATATACTCGCCGGTGAGATGACAATGTTCTTATCGGGATATTTTTTCATCATTTTCGATAACAATTTGAACCCGAATTCATTTATCGAGTTGACTAGTCTATTACTTTCTTCATTATAACTAAAAGAACTGAAACTAAAAAGAAGTTATAAAATGAATTTCTTTGAACAAATTTAAATATTTTTAATAAGCGTATGTAATTTATTTACACTCTAATTTAATAATAAAACTAGCTTTAAATATGAAATTCTTGATATCGTTATTTACCTGGGTAACTGAATATCCATTTGAGCATAACTCAGTTGTGTAAAAGCAACGAAACTCAAATAGAAGAATATTTGCATGTTGATGATTTCTGTAAAGAAATTAAGTTAGAAGAAGAAATATGTTTATCTAGTCAGATATTTAATTTATGTAACAGTGCCTACTTAATTACATTTTGAAAATTAAATCTAACAACTATCCACATTTAAGTTTTTACGCGAAAGTTTAGTTACTCCCTACTTCAGTAGAGACCACGGTCATGACACGAGTAAAGTATTCGTTTCGAGAATTGTTGTTGTGCATATCTATAGATAAATTAGCAACTTTGAACTCTGCTACACCGAAAACTTCTTTGTATCCTGTTTACAATTTTTATCTTTCATTTTTCAAGTATATGTTAATACCTACTGTGATCTTAGAAATTATGTAGGAAGTAAAATAATTAACGGGAAGGAATTCCATATATTAAATTCAAATGAATTTTTGGCGCAAAGGAATGAAATTTTTCCGCCAGCGTGCAATTTCAATTCGATTCCTATTAAACTGGGACTGTTTATGCGGTCTTTTTGCTAAAACATAAAAATTGCTATAGTTCCAATGTTTTAATGGTATAAAATCCGATCATGAAATTTAGAAACTTTCTCCTTCAACGAGCGTGCGAATTCATATACATAATTAGGTAATTAATAATTAAAACACAAAATGCAATGAATTTATACCACCAAAATGTATTAAATGGGTACAGTATAACTAGTCTATTTTGTTATTATTATTCTTAAATTAACATGTACTATATTTTGACGCCGTAATTGATTCTGCACATCGCTTGATCAAAACTATTATTTAAATAGTGAAGTGAAAATAACATTTTAAAAAGGTTAACTAAAAGTACTTACAGTCTCCAATTAAACGACTTAAATACTTCAATTTGAACAAATTTAACTAGAACTTAATTGAAAATATAATATAACAACACGTACAAATCGTGCAAAATGACTGGTGATTTAAACACGACTGCCCACACGATGGTCTGTTGTGCAACTGAATAATCCTTGAGATGAGTTGTGATGAGGACAAATTGTGACGATATAGCAGTCGCATGCGATTCTCTCACGTCACAGTATCTAGTGCAAATACAAGCCGGAGCTTTGAGAAATTTTAATGATTCAAACAATTTATCGACAAACATAAAAGGGAATGCCCGCTGACCAAAATCATGTCGTTTTTGTGACGAGAAATGGGTATTGAATTAGAACATAAATTCCCGCTTATTATCTTTATCTACTTACGAATCGTTTATGTAAACAGTTCAAACGTCCCAAGTAACGTAGGTATATTGTAGAGTTCGGAGCAGCTTCTCTCTCGATAGAACGACGATAAAGAATACAGATACAAAATGTATAAATACCCTCGTTTCGTCCGATAAGTGCGTTGTGAAGACAAAGTTCTATTTCTTTTCTGCCTCCAGCCTTTTCTTGCAAAGATAAAGGAGGGGTTTTATAGGAAAGAGAAATGTAAAATATCCTCTGTTCATTAATATGTTACTTCAGTGAGATCCGGTAGCCTTTTGCGATCGATGTTTAAACTCGTCGTTAATGATATGGACCAGTACCCTTACAATGGATATGTTTTTCCTTAATAAATAAAAACCTACGTGTCCAGGACAATAGCTATTAAAGAACGGCGTAGCATTTGCCGTTATGTCTTGAAAACAATAGATACTTTCATCTCATGGCATACATTACGGCATTTTGTTGTTAAGTTATAAAAATTGCTGATGGCCGTACTAAATCTCTTCTTCTATTGGACTTTTTTGACCTTTGTACACATTATTTTAACTTTATAAATAAACAACTTTAAAATATACAAAATGCGTATAATGACTTACATCGCTATACGATATGTACGTCCATTGTACAGGAATCAATTTAAGCGGGGAGGTTAGGGGTGGGGGCAGATGGTTAGGACGCATGCCCTCAACAGTATTGATTGTACGTCGCACGCAACGTGCTTGGCGAAGCGCCAGAAACTTAAAGCCAGGACAGGCTACAAATGACGACAATTACACTGATGGATATGTTAGTTTTACAATATGTTATACGATAGATCTTTCATATTTAACTGGTTAATTAATATTTCTCAGGAAAAGTCTCACCGTAGCATTTTATAAACTTGTTACGGTTTTTACATCAACGAAAACCAACGTAACCAAATTATATTTGGGTATGTAAAAAAAATCTTGTACGTAGTTAACCTAACATTTTTTAAATTCATATTTGAATGAACTGGCTAACAGTGCGTAAATGAAATGTCTATAAAAAGCTAAAAAGCTCGCCCATTCATAAATACGTTCACTCTCGTATACAACTTTGTGTACATAGTATGTTAGCTACAATCAACAAAAAGTCTTGTTAGCGGATATACATTTTATGAGATAAACGATTTATTCTATGAAGGTTAATTTATTATTGACATTTTTTATCACCAGCGACCTCATTTCAGAAATACATTGAAGTTATTGCGAGAATAATATAACTAGGAACATATGGAGCCAAGTGTTTATAATGTAATTAAAGTTTTGTTTGGGGGTAAGGAGAGTTGAATGAAACACAAAAATATCAATCATTTTATAAATATTCGCAAATGTAGGTCAAATGTGGTACAATTAAAATGAGAGGAAATATAATTCATCAACTTCATATCAAAAAGGAAACATCCTTGCATTGTTTTCTACACTTTATCATTATCTTAATTACGAACTGTAAAAAATTACATCATAACTAACTATCGTGTATAGGAACTTGAGTCTGTTAGCGATCGGGTGAATGCTTTACAAAATAAAAAAAACCTTGCGTATATAATTACAATAAAACATTTCGGTGCATACAAGTCATGTTCACCCTACCTCTAATTTTAGACTCGCTAAACTGAATCTAAAAGCTTCTTAAAATAACCACTTATTTGAACAGAACTTAATTAAAAAATGCAAAACAATTTTATTGTAGAAAGATCTAATAAATCAAAGGGAACCTTTGATGTTTGTTGTGATCAGAACACGCGATAGAGTGTAGAAAATGGAATCGTGTACGTATTCACATCAATTGCCACTGAAAACCAATAAAACACAACACGCGAGGTCACCCCTCGCCATCGAAACTACGCAAGTCAATTAAAATGGCATTTGAGAAATTATAATTAAATAATAAAAGATGTGACTATTTACAAAATACAGACCAGTTGTCGAATTATAAAATATGTAGTACGAAGACATCGGGTATACGTAGCATTGTATGCCTTTGACAACATGATATAAATATATTGGTACACAAATATTGGATTAAATGCTCTGCTTTCGACATAATTTTAATTACAATGGAATTCTGTTGCTACTTGTTTACGTGCTTTGTAAATAATTTTAAAATTGCCAACAAATCAACAGGTGTAGTTGTGGGTATTAAGAAGATCTCAAATGATTTTCAAAATACCCACACAAACTTTTAAGCAACGATTTAAAAGTGCATACAATTCTGCATATACTCTGATTATAACTATTTAATACTAATATTTACTTTCATCAGGGACCAAACATAGTCTTATCCCATTTACAAGCTATCAAAAATGTTTATTTTGAGGAATATTATGCATTCCCGATTCGAAAACACGTTTTATTGGTTTTAGTCATATGTCAAAGTAAAAAAAGCTCTAATGAACATACTCATAATCGTGGTTTACAAACTAATTAATAAGAAATAACCATTTTAATACTTTAAGACATAAATAATAACACATTTTAAACAATTTAACTTGCTTTCTTTGACTTAAAATCTCTTATGTCCTAGATACTTTGACTACACTAATAGTATAACCAAGTCCATTATATTACATTGTTAATAATTATCCTATACTGACATAATGTAAAAGGCGGTAGGCAGACAACTCCTTAAAACTATGGACTCAGAAACAGAGTGTCACAATGAGCTAGAAGGAAGGGCTTAATAATAGTATGACAAATTCACTGGATTTTATAACTATAGAAATTAATATCTTACAAATTACCCCAATAAAGTTATAATTAAAAAAAACTAAATACCCGCTGTTTTGTGGATTAAGCGAACATTAGCGCAAAGTCCACAAGACATATCAAGTAAGTTTTTTTTCTTAACATTGAAGAGACAACTCTAGCCTACATTATACGAATGTTCCGCACTGGCATTAAAACTGTCTATTGGGACCGGAGTATATGAGAAATAAATAACTCGAATCACATCAAAGAACTACAAAGTAAACATAACAGCATCCAACAGAGTTAGAGAGATTCCATATAATTACTCATTATCCATACAAATACCTGAAACGTACAATAACGAAATTGATGATCTTAATTATTGCTAAATGTCAAAATGGAGGAATCTCTGTGAAACTATCGGATAAGTAACATCTCATACGTCTGTCACTATATCATACATCCACATAAATAGCTAAACAAAACACACATACACACACATTCTAAAACTACCAATATGGTGGCTCGAACTAGCGTAACTTAATAATGAATTAATGATCAGTCTTAACAAATTCATATGATCCCCGATACAGGAGCACGGCACTGGTTTCTTCAATACGTCATTCGTCACTCTGTTGCCGAGTCGGAACTAAATAAGGTCTCAAAACTTACACAAGAAAAAAATATTAACAAAAGCACTGCTGGTTAAGTTTTAACAAAATAAAAACGACAGCAAGTTGAAGCGAACAATAATTAAAAGACAAGACCGTTTTAGCTAAACATGGATCCACGCGGTCCACGGCGGGGCCTTACAATCTAAAGTATTTTTAAAATTTTACGAATTTTTCAATCGTTCAAATCGATGATCAAATCACCATAAAAACTGTAGATTTGACTATAAATCGATAGTATCAAAGCTAAGTAAAAGAGACATCGGGTGTCAATCGTAGCCCGCTCGATTGGCCCAATACCATTCCACCGAGCAGCACATTCTAACCTGCTCAGTAGGCAATGCGATTATTTCCTATTTTCACAGTTTTACATTTACATATGGGTAGAATAATGAACATACTTGTTCCTTTATAGATATTTAATTCAAGATCGTGTTTATATTTAACCAAGTCCTAAACCATTACTATGCTTATTATAAGCAATATATCTACTTGAATTAAATATAACATATAAATCATGCTTCAATTAAACTACACTTCACAAGTATTACACTAAACTATGCTCGAAGAGATTCGAACATATGGAATGCTCTAGAACTTCTGACCCAAATATTGAGGGCGATGTGAAAACCACTTGTTAAATCACTATCATTATAGAATAAAGAAAGCACTGGGACTTGTAACACAAACACTACACTGGACATAATATTTTACAATTTAACTTTAAATTTTATTCACCCTCTTATACAAAATAACTGAAGTCAATAACATACGTAACTTTTACGTACAAACCTTACACACAATAGAACCTATAGAGCATTCAAAATACATACAAAAATTGTATAGAATGAAAAGGAGATACCTAAAACTTTATAATTCCCACAAAAACTGACTCAAAAACTGTCATAATTAATAACTTATTGAGAATATGACAAGCTTGTAGTTCCAGTTTTTGGGAGGACTATAAACACCTGCTATCAAACATAATTTTACACACTATATACCTTCAAATGAGTAATTGCAAGTTGAAAACAACTTATAACGCCGCATGCCTAACAATTCTTGTATTACAATAAACCAGAATTCCAATTTACTTACAAGTATCAATCTTGACTTTGCTTATTGCTTCTTGATCAATGTTTTGCTGGTATTTACCTTCAATAGCTAATAATTGATCTAAACCGTCCGATTACACAACTCTAGTCTTAACAATTCTTTATCTACCCCTACACATTTAACAATATCATGAAATAATATTGGCACGCGGCATTCGAATTACTTATTCTGTCATCCTAATCCTATGTAAGTCAGTCATTACAAGTCATAGAAACTGCAGCAAGCCGCATAAACCAAACAGGTCAAAAATTACAATCAAGTTTTATTACATTTGAGACTAAACTAAGCACAGTGCCGACTGTCAACCACGATGCATCCTTTTAATCACATATCCGTACTATCAATGTGTAAAAAAAAATAAAAAACGCAGACTTATCGATTCGTCACTTTGGAAAAGACAATTTAACAACTAAAATTTTTTTAAAACTATATTCGAGGAGGGTCAGGG